TGCAGATGTGAGAGGAAGACTTGTTTCCGTCAGCTTCGTTCAATGATGGATGAGCTGTTACAGTTCTTGGCCATTTTTTGGAACTTCACGAAAGCCGTGCAAGATTCCTTTGTCTGGGGCTATGTTGAGATCGATGTTCAGTTATGAAACCGTTTCAATTGGATATGGAATTAAAGTCTAGACACTCAGGTCCATCATGTGTGTGGGGAAGCCTGTGGTGATCGCAGGGAGTGGCACCTGTTGGGCAAGAGGTTCGCACCAAAGTGCCTGGTGGCGGTCATTGGCATGGGAAACAGTAGGATGCACCGAGTGCAGCAAGGCCTTGGGGATAGAAGGCTTCGTATCTGGGGAGCTGTCACTTGTCGAACTGTTTCTGTTTGACAGCCTGAAAGGAACTTTAAAGTAATCTTTTGATCTTCGGTCGTAGCTCTGAGGCAAAAAGGAAATCTCCAGTCAAGACTCGGCAGATCCACCAGTTTCTCTTGAACCAGTATATCAAAGCAGCTGGCATGCTTCCAAACAAGTTCCTTGTCTTCTCATTGTTTTTGTTTGCCTGCAAAACCAACATTTCCATCAGAACGTTGCTACAGGTTTCAAAGAGCTGCTCGATCTCGTGTGAAGCATGGGAGAAGGCTCAGTGTGATCTTGGAAGAGCGGGCCAAAGCTGACACAGATGGCAGCTTGGACACACTAAATTGTCAAAGGAAAATGAGGCTGAATTGTATTTAGGCCTCTGGAACTTGACCTGATTCAATGATTGTTGACCTGTTGTTGAAAGAGAAGGCAAACCTGAACCTCGATGATATCAATGGCCGCGTGTCAGGCTCGGGCACGGACTCTGACCCGAACTACGACGACGAACTGGCCTTGCCAGAGGAGAGTCTCGAATCAGATGAGGAGGTACGGCTTCACATACTCGGAGTTTCAAGTTTCTTTGCGCAGCCACATGCCGGGAATGTGAACGATGAGTCATATAAAATCAATGTACTAGCATCTGTTTGCATAGCACTTCATGGGGAATGGGATCATTCCCAAACCTTCTAATTGAGGTATGTCGAGAGCAACTTTTGCAGTCGGGTGGACCAGCTCCCTACCCGATACTTACCACCCCAGCGAATCAAAATGCTCTGGCACCAAATGGGATGCACGGACTCTATATCGTGTTTTGTTGGCAGAATGTGTTTTTGCTGCGGGCTATTAAGTTGATGTTTAAATCTGAAATTGCTTGGCAGCCACAGGTATCAAACGTTTTGGCGAACGTATCGACAACACTGGGCCAACGTACTCCGGTTCTTACCGCAGACAAGTCACGGTTGCTGCGACCGTTGCGCAGACTTCAAGGAGGATTTTGCAGCAGCAAAAGATGCTTAGTCAAATCACCTACTACTCGGCTTAGGTCCATGCAGTTGCTGTTACCCGACGACAGCGGTAAAGCCAAGGACATCCAATCCAGATACCAAGTAGCAAAAGATTACAAGTCCCACATAGACCAAGTGGGCCGCGACCGCAGTTTGGAGGAGTTCATGCAGGCCTTTGCCTTTGCTTGTAATCATTGAAACCCCTTCGCAGTCACCCAAAGACCAGAATTATCAGCTTTTGTTCACGCAGACCGCATCGCCTTTGTCGAACCCGTCCCAGAATGCACCGTTGGTGATATTCTGGGCGCCTGGGCCTGGTCATTATGTCTTTTGATGCAAGTTTCTGACTGCAATTCTTTGTGTTGAATTTGCTGAAAGTTGCTGCAGTTGGGCTGGGCTGGGCTGGGCTGGGCTTGGGAATGCTTGCTGGGGTTGTTCATTGCTTGCTGCGTGATTTGAGGACGGAATGGATCAGGCGAAGTGGTGCGTGCCAAGGAATCGGCATGTTCGCGCCACAAAATCTACAGCCATGATTCCTCGGCCGCGCTTCAAGGTGCACGCCTGCTGGGTGATGGGGATATGTCTCAACATGTTCGTCATTGATCCTCGCGTGCCGAGTGATGCAAGCACCATCCTGGAGTGTGCTGTTCGTAGCATCGAGATGGCTGTTGCAGAGTGCAAACGGCGTGGGGTAGCAGCCCCTACCCAACTCATAGTGTGGGATGCTTGGGCTGAAATTGGATGGTTCATGCTCTGCTTGCCTGCTGCCAATTGCTGTTGGGTTTCGGGGCTGTTGCGAACCAAGGCTGACAACTGTGTCAGAGAAACCAAGAACAACAGCTGCCTGAGATTTTTATCATATCTGACGGCGGCCAGAAAGATGAAAGTATGTGCCCTATTGTTCTCCACAGTAGGCCACACTCACGGTCCACTGGGCCTGTCGGCTTGAAACTAGTGCTGCTTGACATTGTTTGCTTGTCCGCTTGACATTGTTTGCTTGCCTGCTTGACATCTGCTGCTAAGACCAAATTTTCGGCCTTCTGGCAACAGCAATGAAGTACTGCGATATATTGAGCGATGGTCCAGATGTTGCTCAGACAGCTGGTTGCCAGAATTGTTACGAAACAAGGTAATACAATTGGATGTGGCTGCCATTGTAAGCTTTCGCGCTGGTTGCCCTGTGAACCCAGGAAGATCGAATCTTTGCTGAACCGCATAGGGCTGAAATCCTGGATTGGACAGGATGCAACGATCAGATCCCAATTCATTTCCGGCACACGTGACTGGAAAGCATGGCTCCTCGCCTGGATTGAGAACAATGTTTTGAAGAAATTGATTATCATCAATCATGTCAATCAACCGTCAATCATTGTCATTCAGGCTTGAACGTGCACCAGTGACATTCTCTGGCGGCTTGCGAGATGATGATAGCGGAATGCACGCCTTCATATTTATGAGAAGAAGAGGCCAGTACAACCAGGTCCAGGCTGCCAGGTACACTCTACATACTCTACTTTATAGAGGGACTGCAGTGTTCGGGCTTTGTTGTTGCTTGTTCACCGCCATTTGTTTCTGAACCTGCGCCCTGAGATCTTCCGCGGAATGTGACTGTCGAAGCGACAGGGAAAGGTGCTCGATTGCCTGATCATCCTGAAGACGTGTGTATTTTGCCAAAACGATACGCATCATCAGATCATTTGGAGCAGGACTGTTTGACATTGACCTGTCACTGTTTGACTTGTTTGAACTCACTGACGGGTAGAAAACTTTTGACAATTGTTGGACATTGGGGAAACACGTTGGAGCAGGAGCCTTTGCTGGCCTTTCCACACCGATACCTACACCGGATGGGTTCCATTGAGAATGTTTCCAGACCGCTGGTTCCTGTCAAACCAGCAAAAAGGAAAGCATACTTGTCGCTAGCTACAATCATTTTGCACAAGCAGCCGACAGAGGCAACCGCTCGAGCAGTCAAGTTTTTGGTGAATCTTTGCCATGACCTGACGCCAGAAAGTGTACCACCGTTACCGTGGTTTGAGGGACCTGAACAGGTCGATGAAATTGATATGAGAGAACCTTCTACTCTTAGACAACTCTGCCCGACCATGAGATTCATGGCCAACCTGCGGGGGTAGCTGGAACCATAGAGAGCAGGCTTGGGCTTGGATGGCAAAATGTTGAGACCTACACGTTTGCTCGTCATGCTCTTACACGCTCTTCACTGGCTATGTAAGTTTTTGGAACGAGTGAACTTCCTAGGGTTCTTTTGATTCATCGTACAAGTTTCAGTTTGCAGCCATTTTTGGAGTTTATCTAGTCGGGTGAGATTCCTTCCAACAACCCAGTCCCAGGTGCCAACCTTAGCCTTGCAGCCGAAAGTTTTTTTGGGTGGGTTACCTGCCATGAAACAATTTGGAGGTGACCTTCCAACGCTTCCAACTTCTCGTTTTAGTTCCTGATGGACCAGGTTGGACCCTGTCCACAGCAATCAACTCGCTTGTTTCTTTTTGCTTGGCAGGCCATCGATGCACAGGTCGACCACCAACCTGCAGAGGTGGAGGATGGGGACTGTGTTTCTGTTATATTTTGATCACCAAAGAGTGGTTGATTCAGGGCACTTGGAGTGATGAGTCTCTAGATGAGATGTTCATGTACCCGACCGATGAGCTTGAAGACTCACAGGCCGGCCGGAAGGAAAATTAGTACAGGTTGCTTCATTGCAAACCCCTACATTAGCATGCCTTTTACTCTGTCACGTATTCAACATGTGGCCGCTCTGTTTGGAGGTGACCTTTGATGTCATTGCGCAAAGAAAGGCCCTGTCCGACCGGTGTCACATGTTCCATCATGATCAACCCCTCAAATGTGCTCGCGCAGGTCGTAAAGCGATTGTGGGAACAAATGGAAGAGCGCCGTGAGGCTGGTCCACCTAGCACTCTAGCTATTGACTGCTCTGGCCGGTCTGACTTTCCCACCCGCCCATGTCAGGAAGCCTTTGCTTCAAAGAAGCAAGCTCGCACGGGTCGCACCAAGCCTGGTGAGGAAATGCAGTGACAATTCAGAGCTTCAAATTAATTTCTAATTAGAATTGAAACCTTTCAGCTATTAATTAAAGCTGGACATCAAAGGTTTGCAAGACTTGGCACACGCTGGTCAAAGAGAACAAATGGGTTCTTTAGAGAATTGTGGAGTCGCAGGGGCATGTGGTGGCACATGAATCGTCATCGATATACATATTCACCATACTGCAAGTTTTTTGCCTTATATGCAGTCTGTCCTCACTGTCGTGTGAAAAATACGACTGTGACATGGGGAAGGGTACAGTGTCTCTTCGCGCCGCGGTGTCCCTGCTCGCCTCATCCATCAAGAAGCCTGACGCAGCAAAACCATGTTCCAGGCCAGGGGTTGGTAGCACTCCGTTATGTTGCAGCATGAGCCAACCCCGGGAGGCAGAAGGTGATCAAAGCTTCAGCCAAGAAAAAGCGGGAGCTTGAAACTGAGTGGCAGGTGGTTGCCAATAGATACAAAGTCAACGCCAACTTCTGATTAGACTTGAAATCCTGCCTGAGGCGCTTTTATCCAAAAACAACTGTGGCTGCCGCCCCAGAGGAGAGCCCAGTGCACTTCAAACAGATCGATGACATGTATAGGTGGCCAAAGATTTACTTGGATCAGCTGGCTGCTTGCTTTGGGGCTGGCTTTGTTGCTAGCCGGCTGGTGAAATGGAAGTGGAATCTCTCGACTTGCTTCAGTGGAGTTGGGTGCGCGGAAAGTGCCGGGCCCTCAACATAATGGCAAACATGTGGAATTTGCTAGAATTGGCTAGAGTCATAATCCGAAGTTCACAATAATATGATACCAAGGCCAACTAATAGGTCCAGGTGTAGTTCACATGTTTCATGGACCTGTGATCATTGGGTCCTTCTCCCCGTGGCAGCGTTCTAAGGCTGCCCTCTCACTCCAAACTGCAGCTAGGCGCTTTCTCAAGAAGCACCGCAAGATGTCCGCGATGGATCATGTTCGGATTACATCAGCTTGCGAAATCGACAAAGCATGTCAAGAAGTTCTTGGGGCCACATACGGACATTGCTGTTTCGAGGATATCGTAACCATGGATATGGGCAAGAAGGTATGCTATTGCACGACTCACAAGAAGAACTGCGTTTTGGAGCCTGATTTGGAAGACACAAACCGTACAAACCTGAGCCGCTCATTTCCGAACCACACTGCCCCATCCTTTAAGTCCAAAGCGTGACCTGGCCTCCAAGGCTTGAGGATCAATGTGTCCGGTTTGGGCCTCAATCCATCGTCAATGTGGTTCAACCTTGAATGAATGAAAGGAATCCCATTTGTGATCCAGTCCAGCTTGCACATCGATTTTTTGTATGCCTGAGTCTTTGGTTAGATTTAGATGTTTGTATCGTAGACGACTTGAAACCATAAGGGCTCCCATGCCCAGGCTCTTTGGTCATGACTCATGATGTCTATTTTGTGTCCCATCTCCTGCTCTGAGCTTCCCAGGCCCAGTCTGTGTGGACTACAGCCTGATGGGTAAGAGAGAGAAGGAGAAGGGGAAGTCGCAGGTTTGCCACCAAGCCTTCTACGACAATATGAAGAACAGCCAGAATTCAGTGGTTGTGGTTGAGAATGTTTGTGAATACGATGGAGAACGGATAGTCCAACAGGCTTTGGGCAACATTTGGAAACTGGAGGTGGTCCGAATAGACCCAAGGATTTTTGGGTTCGCTTCTGCACGTGCCCGGATGTACCTCGTAGCCTACCGCAGCGACAAACTGCGTTGGGCGGGACCTTGGACCCTTCAATCATTTGTTGAGATGTTGAGATCTCGGGTGGAGATGTCAGTGTGGGACTATTTCTGGATGAAGCTTCCCAAATCCCAGCTGAGCCAATCGAATGAAACTCGTTTGAACACTTAGAATACTTTAGAATGAAGAGTTGAAGGACACTAGTGAACGTAAGCTTTGGGCTAAGCGTCATCGAGCATTGTGAGGAACAGAACTTGGCTGACTACAACAAGTCATCGCGGACTTACATGGTTGCAGACCTGAACCAATATGCGGCCAATGGCCGTGGCAGGGGGGAGACAAAGGATGATTGCCTCCCTACATTAACAACAGGATCAGGAAGGCTGTACAGCCAGGCCAGGGTGGGGTTGATCATAATTTAATAATACGTTGTTGTACTGTATTGTGTTTGCCATACAGAGCCCGCAAAACTCTCGGACAGACCTGATCCCATTCTGAGCCCCACGCCAGGAGAAGCGCCGTTTCCTTCACGGCACAGAGCTCCTCACCAGTCATGTTCTTCCATGCACAGATGAACATAGCAAGATTTGTGGTGCTCCAAAATTGGAGCTGCAGTCTATTGCCAATACCAACCTTGTTCGTATGAGTGGGAATGCAATGTCAATTCCTTGTGTAGGCTGCATCCTGTTAGCCTGTGCCCTATCCTTTCAGCCAAGGACCCAGCCGTGCAGGAACTAGGCCACTAGATTTGCTGGCTGCTTTAATTAATAAATTCATCTTTATGTGCTGCTTACGTAACGAGAACCCGCCTGAAGGTCAAAAAAGACTTGGTTCTGACACTTTCCAATCTGAAGTGAATCATGTTGAGTTGGCGTTGTATTAGAACCTGGTGTTCTGCCACGCTTGCATCGTGCTGTTTAAACTTAGCGGGATCAAGCCGGTCCTTTGGCACGATCCACAAAATGTCAAAGAAAGATCGGCCTGCAAAGGCCAGGAAACTCAGTGCTCCATGGGCGGAACTAATGATGGCTGACATTCAGCCCCTTGCCAAGAAACATGTTTCTTGTTACTTGGCTCTAGTTCAACTGCCAGTCCCGCCCTCTTTGTGAGGAATTTTGACCTGGACAAAGACGAACACCCTGTCAAGTTCGTGCTTGACAACTTGTCGACCAGTTTAATGGGAGCTGTGCACACATGGTTGGAAACAGTTTCTGGGGAGAAGTTTCCAGAGCCATCAAGCTTCACAGTGCCAGACTCTTGTTACTGTTCAAAATGCAATTGTTTGTTTCTTACTTGTTTTGACCCTGAACAAAAAGATCCTCCTCAATTAGCTCCTCCTTTCGTGTCGAGCCCAGGTACCAGTGCAGGTGGCCAAGGTTCCACTGCTTTCGATTTCACTGACAAAACCATCAGATGGCCTCCCCCTATACCAGTCATGGGTCAATGTGGCTTCAGATGTCTATTACAGCGGCTACGAATCGTGGCGGGGGGTCATCGAGGTGAAAGCGTTCGAGTCTCCAGGTTCCCAGCTCGACTTCCATAGCTTGCAAGCTACCAAAGGACTGGGGCGCTTGTCGGTAATATATTTTGGAATCTTGAGAACCTATTTGAAGCACCAGCACGATTTGACGGATGAGCAAATCAAAGATTTGAAGAGGCTGGACCACTAGCTTCCGGCTTTTTGGGAAGTACTCACATGGCCACCAAAAAGTGTCATTTGGGATAGTCTGGGTCGTCCTTTCTGATCAAAAATGAGAGGAACCAAAAGGGTGAGGGTTTGGTTGAAACCGTCGTCCTTAAGATATTGTGCAACCTAACCAGCAGCTTCCCAGATTTCACAGGCCCTTTCTGTCTGAGCCCAGAAACTATTTTGGGCTAGGCGTGTTATAGCTGGGGCCTAGGGGAAACATCCTGCAGAATATCTAAAGGGTGATGGTTTCACTGGAACCCTCGTCCTTTTCAAAAATATGCAAATCAACCAAAAAGGGTGACCCAGAATGTCTCCCAGCAAACTTTCCAGGGTGAGGGTTTGACTGAAACCGTCGTCCTTTAGGGATAGTGTGGGGGTCCATACCCACCAAACCCTCGTCCTTTAGATATTGTGGGGGGGGCTTCACATCCACCAAACCCTTGTCCTTGATGATATTGTGGGGGTTGGTTTACAGGGTGTGGAGCTGGCCCAAAAGCGATTCACGAATCCATCTTGGACTACCCTTCCGGCCTGTCAACCTTGTGAAGCTGCTCAGCTCGGCGCCTGCGGAACACGCAGGTGGTTGGATTCGATCAAAGAGATGCACTGCGTGGTCGTTCAGGAACTTGAGGAGGTGAACTACGAATGGAGGAGGCTTCAAACTCATGAAGCCCAAGCTGAACGCCAAAAGAAAAATCTACTTCAGAAAGCTCTAGTGTTCCATCATCGAGCCCTGCAGCTGTCTCTGAACGACATGGGTCTCAAAGAGTTAATGTTTAATAACTGGCCCCTTGAAGTTGAATGGGGGTTATACCTGCAAGAACTTTTTCAAGATCGTTCCCACCAAATTCTGTCATCAAACACCATCAAACAACACACCCCTGCGGCAGGAACCCCACAAGTATGGAGGGTCTCAGGAAGCCATGAAGAGTGCATTTCTCCGTGGGATCCAGGAATACAACGACTATGGCACTGCATCGTCGAATCCAAAGTACAGAATAGATGAAGCTGCTGGACTACAGCTGTGGGGATTGAAGGTGGCTTCGACTAATTAATACCTCTGCTGTTACCGATCTCCGGTTGAGTTACCCCCCCCCCCCCGGACCAACCAAAAACGTTCTTCGACTTCTCGACGGCCTTCATCCAAGGTTGGAGTCTGCGACGATGTCTGGTGCTTGTTGGAAAGGCACCTTCACATGGTACGCTTTGAGAACTCAGGCCCTGTGCCTAAACAATTATCTCTCTAATTTTACTAAAAGGTTGCCTTCATTAGGCATCTTGCTGGCTGATATTTGGGAAAATGCTATTCTGGGGGTTGACACTACTTAGCGGAATTCTGTGGAATTAAGTCTCAGGTTGCTGAAACCATTGTTTTGTGCTGTTGGCCTCAACCCTGACAGCCTTGAGCAAAGAGTTGCTATTGGACGGGAGGTGGCTACTGGGCGGTGTCCCACGTATCAGCTGTGCCAGTTGGTGCCGCATTTTGACCATGACCGAGGAGAAACAACTGCTGTTCATGCATCGGGTCCTTCTTTTACATAGCATTTGCGCAAGGCGCGGAGGTCGGGGAGCAGCAACGAGGCTATCTCTCCAAGACTGGCACCACGAGGCCAACAGAATGTCGCTCTTTGCTCATGTCTTGGCGGCCATGCGGGAAGCCACCGCTGATGACGGCAGTCCTTTGTTTGAAGATGCCAACCTTGCGAAGCTGCTGAACCGATGCATCGAGGGGTGCTGCTGGCTGGCCATTGTGTGTGTGTGTAGTGCTAAGTGTTGTGTGGGGGAGTGCAATGTTGCAAATAGTTTTCTCACCCGTTCGGAGCACATAGAGAGGCAGGTAGTTTCAATCTAGGAAATTTTGACCGCACGGAGGCCCTACTCAGGACAAGACTGGGCACGAACAGGAAGGGATGGGGGAGAGGGAAACAAGTGGGTCTTGCAAGATACAACAATAACATGTGGCGAACTGTTTTTGTCATGTGCTTTTGGCCAGGGACTTCAACAACGAAGCTGATGAAGCCTTGTCGATCAAGGATCCAACGTTTCAGCCACAGTGTTTATCACTTTGGCAAGAGAACGTATCACCTCCCAAAGCAGACGCGGCCTTTGCAGCCGCAGAGAGGCAGTTAGCGGTGCTCAACACTGACGCACGCAAAGCAGCGTGGGAGCGAGACAACTTGGTCCTAGCCAAAGACATAGCATTGGTCGGCCAACTATTCCAACAAGAATCAAAATCACAACGCGCTGAACGTACCCAACGGGTGGTTCACGTGCGAGCTCAAAATGTGATCGGTGCATCTATTGTCAGTAACTTTATGTCCAACAATGTGGCCTTCCTGTGTGGCAAGAGCCATGATCTCGCTGGCAGGGTGGACAAGGCCAATATTCCAAAATAGGGCTGGGGGTGGGTGGTGTGTCAGTCTGTTTCCATGCTCCTACCAAAAGACATGATGGCCTTCGGCATGCCCCACATGATCAAAAAACAGGTTTTAATGTTCAATGCTCACACCCTTCAGTTTGCGGATGAAGCTACCAGTGGGGGAGGTGGACTACTGGTCTGGGCTGACCTGACGAAGATGGGTCGTATGTCAAGCAATGACCTGAACTATGTCGTAGACACGATGGCTACCGCTTTGAGCAAACGGCCAACCAACAGCATCGGGTTTATAGTGGCACCATGGCTGTCATCAGAAAGAATCGTGAATGCTCAGCGAGGCGAACGAAGGTCACTTGATTCTAGTTCAATTTTATTTTGATCTGTTGTTCAGTGTCCGTGTGTGTGTGTGTCTGTCACACCCTGGGGGGAGGGGAACCTGTCCCGGCAACTGTTGGTTGGTACAAACCAAGGCGGGTGGAGGACAAGTGTGACGCCCGCAACCTGATGACGGCTATGATTACGGTCAGAATGCAGCCACCACCACAAAGCAAACATGTGCCAATGATCTTCCATGCTTGGGTTGTATTTGACGAATCATCCTTTGGGGACAACATCTTCAACGAATGTGCTCTGATGCTGGACAGGCAAGGTTCCAATATCAGTTGAACCTGTTGTTGTCTTTAAAGTGGTTATGTACTGGGCCAACTTACGATGGGTTCATAGGGTGGTGTTTGGCATTAGATGAATCACAGGCTCCCTTGTCGCTACCTGTTGCTTTGCCAAACTGACCATAGTTCAGGAGCCCCCGCTCTTTGCTGGCATGGCTGCCAGAATCCTCCTACATCATTCCAAATGCCGAGAGGGACTCCCTCCCTCGGTCAGCCGAGTCCAGGCACCTTGCACAAAAGAACAGTGTTATTATTTTATAGTAACTTTGAACCTCCGGAAGATTAGTGGAATAGCATGGAATAATTAACTGGGTCCTGGGCCTTGGTGGTTTTCATCATTCTGGAAACTACCCCACCAGGTCTATGTCGGAGGTGCAAGAAGGGGCACAACTGCTCGCGGGGAAGGATTTTCCTACCGCTATCTTCACTGGAATCATTGAAAAGTCCAAGCTCAAGGGCAAAGTCCTTGGGGTTCTGAACACAACCCCATATGACACATGGCTTGAAACAACAGCTATGGATTGGTCAAAGGATCATCCGGGGTCAGTTGCAATGAAGAGCTTGAGCATTGCTGAATGCAAGACCAGCGGTGTTGTGGACTACTGTGAGAAGGTCATCGCAATGAAACTTCTTGAGGCTCTGATACGGTCTGTCAGTTGTGTTTTTGCTTTTGATGGGCGACCTTAAGACTACCGAGACATACCGAGACACACTGACCATCCCAAACCCACCCAAGCCTGCACGATGCACTTGTTTGCCAATGAATCATGCATCCAACCTGCAGGATTGGAAGCTCAACAAGCATGCCATGGGATCAGTTCGGGCATACGATCCCAACCCTCCCAAGAATGATGCCGAAGTGGACATTTCAAAGTTCGAGTTCAAGCATGTTCAGTGCACTGTTCAGCCCAATGGTACCGGATGGTCTCGATACAAGATAGTGCTACCAGCCAGTGTCCGGCAGCTCTATGCGAACGACGTTGTGTACGGCCCGGAATGGCGTGAGCTTTTGTCCGACTTTGATCGAAGGCCCTCGAACTCAAAACTATGTTGTTGAATTAGACCAGTGCAATGGGCCCTTCCCAAAATCTGAAACACATGCCATGATGATTATTGGGTCTGAACTGAAGTGCAACACCGTGCAACACACTCTCCAGGTTTGGCACCACGGCCTCAGAAGCTCCAATCGCGCCACCTCCAGAGCCTGAACCAGAATTGCCAGTGACTCTATGGAGCGGAGAGCCCACGACAGTGGATGAAATCTTGAATCAGTACTATGTTGAGGCAAAAATATCAGGACGGACGGCTGGAACAACATTTTTTGTTGTGGATGCAAAAAGGAGGACTTCAGGTGTCCTCGATCAAGTCTCCGAGCATCAAACCTTGAAACTCTTCATGGTTACTTGATCGACTAATTGACCCACTTCAACAAATCAGTTGGCATCTAGAATAAAGTCGTTTTGAAGGTGTCAAAACAACTCGATCAAAATCAGGTTGCACACGCCACCGTCACCATCCCGGACAGCGAATTCATTCTGGCTCATGGAAGCAGCCGGTGGATCCGAGGAGAAAAATTCATGGAAATGAAACGGAAGGGCTTAGGCCGGGCCTGTTCGTCTTGAAGTTGGCATTGAGCAAATGTTTGCCCAGCTTCAGCACCTTGAGATCACTCTGGCATCAACCTTCTAGGATCAAGCTTCTAGTGGTGTAGGATAGTTTGTAGGATATATTCTACTTAGTTCCATTGCTGATATGCCGTCTAACATCTCTGACCTTCTTGCGGCCCACGGCTTTGATCAGGACTGGTGTTGACAGTTGACACCAAAGACCAGAATCTTCCGAATCTTCAATGAATTGAATGTAGAACACAACCTCCCCCTTACCAATAATTGATGTTTCCAGGACTTTGCCCGTTTGACCACTGCTGATGCTGGTGCAATTCAAACCCCACCATGCAGAACAGCCCCACACTTAGTTTGTTCACTGTATTCCAACAATCCCAGTATCCTTGGATTGCCCTCTGCTTTCCCAGCTTGAGGCCTATGCCTCTCCAAGCTCTGGGCAAACAGGCTCTCCCCAACCTGTGCCGGCTGTGAAGGCCACTCGAGGGTCGGTCACAAAAAGAACCATATACTTGGGTCTGCTTTGCAAAAAATGCAACATGTTTAAAGGTAAGACTAGTGAGCGCTAAAAGTCGTGTTGCCAGGAGGCATCAAAGTCCGTGGCCAAAGTGTTGGCACTAGCAGACAGTGAACCGAGCCCACTGCCAATGACTACTGCGGAGTCCAACAGCAACACCAACCCTACCCTAACACCAGACAAGATTGCGGAGTTGGAAGCAGAAGTGAAGGCAGCTCAGACCAATTCCAAGATGAAGAGAGCTGCTGCTCCAGGAGTGGACCCGGAAGTGAAGGAGGCAAAGAGACATGAAGTGCAGGAGGAGGAGAAGAAACCAAAGACAAATGCTGCAAAGAACCAGGAGAAACCAAAGGCCTCAAAGAAAGACGATGAGCTGGCTGATGCTGAAGCGGAGGAGGAGGAAAATGAGAATTATGATGGAGAGAGCTTTGAGGACGAGCCAGCCAAGAAAAAGAATGGCAAGCAACCTGGATCAAAGCAAGGCAAGGGTAAAGGCAAGGGTGGTGCCAAGCAGGCAGCCAGGCCGAAGAAGGCGGCCAAAAAGAAGCCTGCAAAGAATGACATCGAGTATGAGGACAATCCTCTTGACTCAGAAGAGGATCTGTCTGCCGAGTACGTGGATGATGCTGGTGATGATGAAGATTCATTCGGCCTCCCCAAGGATCAGTCTGTGAAAAACCCACAGCAGAAGCAGCAAAGGAAGAGGAGGGGGAAGGTTGCACATGGCCAGAATCCTAAGGGGAAAGCAATGAAAAGACTTCGCAGGGCCAAGAAGCTTGGGAAACTTGCAGCTACAGCTGCTGCTGCAAACATGAATCGTCCGGAGGCACCTGAGACAGGTGACAACGTGAAAGCTGAGAAGGGTGCGAAGAAGGGGAAGAAGCATTCCGATGGCGAAACCAAGCCCAAGATTTCCCGGGCAAAGCAGGCTCGTGCTGGAAGTTTGGAGAAGAGCAAAACCAAGGCCAAACTTT